TATATATATATATATACCTCGCCGGGTGTTACGTTAGCCGGCTGAGTACCGTTAGGGTCGTGGGCGAAGGAGTCGTCCCCAGCCGGTGATGTATTTAACCAAGTAAGGTTATATCTAAATCTAATATACTTCTGGAAGCGAAGACTAGCTCGGGGTCTGGGTGGCGTAACTGGCAAGCGCACCGCACGGCAAGCGGAGGTTGCGGGTTCAAGCCCCGCCCCAGGCCAGTTCTTTTATTCCAGAATGTTCTAAATTTATTTATTTAATTATTAATTTAATTAAGAGATGGCGCCTAACGCCTACCTCTAATGTCAAATTACTTAGTTCCAATCATTTAAAATAGCCATATTATAGCCCGATAAATTAGGCGATCGTTTGGTGTTGCTATCCATCAAATTAATATAATTTTGATTTATAAATTCTTTTCTTCAGAATCTCTTCCCAATATCTATTTAATATATCATTTTATAATTTAAATTATTTAAATTTTAACTTGTTTAAAATATTTAATAGCAACTTCTACATTCAACTTTTATATTTAATACATATAAAAATGAAGAAATAATTAAAATATACAAGACAGATTCAATAAATAAGGCTAGTATCACTGCTAAAGAGTTGCTAAGTAATCAAAAATCAAACAACAGCTCATTGTACAATTTTGAAAAATTTGATATTGACAATGCCATTTTGTAAACTGCATAGGGGATGCAAATACCATTTGCAGAGATGAATGTTGGTACATAGCTACTTAACTGTGTATGCTTTCAAAGTTATTAATCTCAACCTTGTACACTAAATAAATTTTCTTTTAACAGTGCTATTAATTTATTGTATTTGCTCAATATAATGAGACATCAGAACTCAGTAATAGATTTTACTTCTAATTTGAAAATGGATATCAAATTCCATAGAATTTAAAACAACATGGAAAAAGTTAACTTATATAACTGGAAATATCAAAGTTTTGTTTAGTAATTATCTATCTGTGACAATAATGTTAATTTGAGTAAATGATAAAAAAGCTTCCAACAACAGAAAAGAAAATTGATAATTCTATAAAATTTATCACATTATGATTACTTCATTCATTGATAAATTTTATGAAATATATATTNACTGCTACATTTGACATTGAATGATTCATAAAGAACAATTGCAAATGCCTATAAATTTTTCACTCAAGCTGATAAACAGCATAAGTTCAAAATTTTAAAACATGAAATTCACAAACTAACTTGTACTTTTTTCTTTTATAATTAACAATATTTGAAATGTCTAGTACAAGTGATAGTTACTTTGCAAATTTCATATATCTTGTCAAAAGTTTACAATTCAGAAAGAACTGTTCAGTTCTTTCTGAATTGTCAGAGTGTTCATCAGCAGTAGATCTGAAAATGGAAATGTGAAATTCCAAAAAGTACTTAATCTAATTAAATATTATTCCTTAAAAAATTGAGGTTTTCTTTTTTATTTTACACATGGAATGATAATAATAAATCCTTAATACTTTAAAAAATTTTAAATATTGATAATTTCTTTACAAAACACTTTTATTTGAAAGTTTTCAGCTATTCTATTGTGTACAAATTAAGATATTTTTAAAAGTACAGATTACACTTGACAAAATGCAAGATAATCTCCTCCTTTTTAAAATAATATATAACTTAAATTGCACTTTTACATTCTTAAAATAAACAATTTTGCTGGATAATTATGATTTCTTAAATTTGCTCATTTCTCAATTGTTGTAAACTATAATTTTCATCTCATTAATATGTCTATAAGTTTTTGTAGAAAAATGTATATTTAATATTTTCATATAATATCAATATAAAAAGGAAAAGAATTAAACTAATACAATCATACTAAAATAATATAGCATTTAAATAACAACTATAGAAATACAACTAATAAAATGTTTCATTTCAATTCTAAAATGCATTATCAAGTCTAATAAATAATTTATTTCAAACTGCAATGTATATAAAGTCATTCTAATGTTTACCTTTATGAGCAATTAAATTTTAAACACCAAACATTGGTTACTTGATCCAAAACAAATTAATTTTGCCATGTAACTCTCCAAAACCAAAAGTAATTATTACTAAATCATATCTACATTTTACTTCATTATAATGTATAATTTAATCTGTAAATAATCAACTTTTGTTTATAGTTTTCATTTACAAATATACATCAATATTGCTTTAGATGTCTTAAAAGTTGTAAATATTTAAAAGTACATTATATCATAAATATCTTACTTTTAAATATAACTTGCCTGTTACTCCAGAGTTGGCAATCTTAAGTCACCATAAATAATTTTACCTTTGTAATATTAAATAAATATCATTCTTTCTAAACATTATTTAGAAATGGTGATATAATATACTTTTAATGAACTTATGTACACATGTATTTCATGTTTAATTGATTAATTAAATGATAATGTTAAATATAAATATTTAATACATTAAATTTAACAATCAGATTAATTTCTTGAAAAGAAATAAAATATTATTTGATATTATTTTGAATTATAATTAGATTTAAATTAATTACAAAACTTTAAACTTATCTATGGATTTAATTATAAAATGTTTTCCTTACCGTTCCATTTGGACCCCAAACTCTGACCTCTAAATATCCAGTATAATTTGTATTATGGGATAATTCTCCATCATAAACATATTCCATTCCAATAGGAGGTTGATTTGTTGCTGAATTTCGTTTTTGTCTTGTTTCTGTGGTTTCTGTGGTAGTTTCTGTTTCATCATGTACTGTACATTGGCTATTCTTTTTGTCACCAATTACAACTTCTTTCATAAAATTATCACTGAAAAATTGAATAAATGATTTGATTAATGTATTATGAATGTTAACCGTTACTTAAAATTAATTTATAATTAAATATTTACAGAAATAAATCAGCAAAAATGAAATCTTATGATTACAGCATATATTTTTAATATTAATTATTTTCAATTGTTTAAAAGAATCCACTTTGGCTGAAAGAGCTAAATTACATGAATAATTTAATGAATTTTTAATAAAGATATGCTAAGTCACCAGATAACCCTTGTTTAAAGTACTGTACATACTAAATCTTATTTGGACAATGTTAACTTATAATAAACAATTCTATTGTTCAAAAAAATATAAACACAATTTATTAATTTGAAAAAATATCATTATGAAGAAATAAATTATCTTTATTAACAATTACTTTAGATTTTAATATCATAATTTTATACTGGCTATTAATGCTAGTTCATATTATTTCTATGATATTTGCTTAATTTCTCATTAGATTTATCTTTTAAACATTAAAATATTCCAATAGTTAAGGAAAATTAAGAGTTAATTTCAAATATTAATACTCTAACTTTAAAAATTAGCAAGTAAGGCTCAAAATTGTTAAAGAAGTCATAAATATTTAATCAGATTAAGTGCTTTTTGGGATTTTACATTTTCATGTTCAGAACTGCTACATTTGACATTGAATGATTCATAAAGAACAATTGCAAATGCCTATAAATTTTTCACTCAAGCTGATAAACAGCATAAGTTCAAAATTTTAAAACATGAAATTCACAAACTAACTTGTACTTTTTTCTTTTATAATTAACAATATTTGAAATGTCTAGTACAAGTGATAGTTACTTTGCAAATTTCATATATCTTGTCAAAAGTTTACAATTCAGAAAGAACTGTTCAGTTCTTTCTGAATTGTCAGAGTGTTCATCAGCAGTAGACAGAGTGTTCATCAGCAGTAGATCTGAAAATGGAAATGTGAAATTCCAAAAAGTACTTAATCTAATTAAATATTATTCCTTAAAAAATTGAGGTTTTCTTTTTTATTTTACACATGGAATGATAATAATAAATCCTTAATACTTTAAAAAATTTTAAATATTGATAATTTCTTTACAAAACACTTTTATTTGAAAGTTTTCAGCTATTCTATTGTGTACAAATTAAGATATTTTTAAAAGTACAGATTACACTTGACAAAATGCAAGATAATCTCCTCCTTTTTAAAATAATATATAACTTAAATTGCACTTTTACATTCTTAAAATAAACAATTTTGCTGGATAATTATGATTTCTTAAATTTGCTCATTTCTCATCAGAAATAGTCAGATGTTGGCCTTTGCTATATAACTGGCACTCAGTCATAATGGAATGATGTTTTCTATGAAAAAATAACAAGATCAATCCATAAATCGGTAAAAATTTGATCTAATTTCAGGAGTTTTTTAAAAAACTGAATATACAAAACAACTAATGAATTTAAATCAGCAAATCTGCAATTATTGAAGAGATATTATATTAAATTTAAGTGCTATTATTAATTTAAATTATCATTAAAGATTTTTACTCTCCGGAAAATACTCAACATACATCCTTAATAATTAGTTAATGAGTAATAAAAATTAATATAATTTTTCACTTAATTAGTTTCATCACAATTGGAAACTATTAAAGCTTAGTTGTGATAAATGTAGCATAGAAATACAATTTGTGATATTAAAATACATTAGTTCAATAGAAATCCAAACTTTAAACTTTATATTTGTAAGGGTAACCACAAGTGTAACAAGCAAACATGTAAATAAAAAGAAGAGAATAAACTACAGTGGTACCTCAGGATACGAACGCCCCAGCATACAAAATTTTCAGGATATGACATGAAATTTGAACATATTTTTGCTTCACGATACAAACAAAAACTCACCATACAACGTTGCATTAGTTCACAGTGTCATTTTTTATTCACTTCTGTTCATTAGTCTCAGTTCGTGTGTTTGCTTCATTGTAAAAGGATCTCGCTCGATAAAGGAAATCTTGAGGTATTATCAGAAAGCGACTGATTTTATTGAAAAGAAACATTCCTAAAAGGTTCACACTGGCCGTATTGCTGCTTGGAGTAATTACATTTGCCTAAGTCATTTTAGAAACATTTTAAAAAGTAGGCAAAGCCAAATCTCTTTGGATAGATTTTACCAAGCGAACTCTATCCAGTGAAAGTGCTGGTGGAAGTGAAGGAAAGAAAGCAAAAAGCAGTGAATAAAAATTTAAAAATATATATATATATAAGACAACACTAATTTTTTTATCTTTTCTAAGTTATTTTTTTAGTTATTGTTACATTATGTTATGCAAGTTAAGTTTTAGTATCATTTCCCTTCTCCCTCTCTTCCACCACCAGTTTACACCTCCACCGTCATCTATCCTTGAAGGTAAAGTGCAAATAAAACTAGATTTTTTGTATCAATTATTATTCTATTATGGTTATACATTTACAACTAAGAAACGCATTTTTCATTACTATAGTTATTATTATTATTTTTAATGTACTACTTAGCTTTAATTTGAGTGTGTTTTTCGTGTTGGAACAAATTATTTGGTTTTACATGTAATCGTATGGGGAAAAATGATTCACCTNTATTTACAGAAATAAATCAGCAAAAATGAAATCTTATGATTACAGCATATATTTTTAATATTAATTATTTTCAATTGTTTAAAAGAATCCACTTTGGCTGAAAGAGCTAAATTACATGAATAATTTAATGAATTTTTAATAAAGATATGCTAAGTCACCAGATAACCCTTGTTTAAAGTACTGTACATACTAAATCTTATTTGGACAATGTTAACTTATAATAAACAATTCTATTGTTCAAAAAAATATAAACACAATTTATTAATTTGAAAAAATATCATTATGAAGAAATAAATTATCTTTATTAACAATTACTTTAGATTTTAATATCATAATTTTATACTGGCTATTAATGCTAGTTCATATTATTTCTATGATATTTGCTTAATTTCTCATTAGATTTATCTTTTAAACATTAAAATATTCCAATAGTTAAGGAAAATTAAGAGTTAATTTCAAATATTAATACTCTAACTTTAAAAATTAGCAAGTAAGGCTCAAAATTGTTAAAGAAGTCATAAATATTTAATCAGATTAAGTGCTTTTTGGGATTTTACATTTTCATGTTCAGAACTGCTACATTTGACATTGAATGATTCATAAAGAACAATTGCAAATGCCTATAAATTTTTCACTCAAGCTGATAAACAGCATAAGTTCAAAATTTTAAAACATGAAATTCACAAACTAACTTGTACTTTTTTCTTTTATAATTAACAATATTTGAAATGTCTAGTACAAGTGATAGTTACTTTGCAAATTTCATATATCTTGTCAAAAGTTTACAATTCAGAAAGAACTGTTCAGTTCTTTCTGAATTGTCAGAGTGTTCATCAGCAGTAGATCTGAAAATGGAAATGTGAAATTCCAAAAAGTACTTAATCTAATTAAATATTATTCCTTAAAAAATTGAGGTTTTCTTTTTTATTTTACACATGGAATGATAATAATAAATCCTTAATACTTTAAAAAATTTTAAATATTGATAATTTCTTTACAAAACACTTTTATTTGAAAGTTTTCAGCTATTCTATTGTGTACAAATTAAGATATTTTTAAAAGTACAGATTACACTTGACAAAATGCAAGATAATCTCCTCCTTTTTAAAATAATATATAACTTAAATTGCACTTTTACATTCTTAAAATAAACAATTTTGCTGGATAATTATGATTTCTTAAATTTGCTCATTTCTCATCAGAAATAGTCAGATGTTGGCCTTTGCTATATAACTGGCACTCAGTCATAATGGAATGATGTTTTCTATGAAAAAATAACAAGATCAATCCATAAATCGGTAAAAATTTGATCTAATTTCAGGAGTTTTTTAAAAAACTGAATATACAAAACAACTAATGAATTTAAATCAGCAAATCTGCAATTATTGAAGAGATATTATATTAAATTTAAGTGCTATTATTAATTTAAATTATCATTAAAGATTTTTACTCTCCGGAAAATACTCAACATACATCCTTAATAATTAGTTAATGAGTAATAAAAATTAATATAATTTTTCACTTAATTAGTTTCATCACAATTGGAAACTATTAAAGCTTAGTTGTGATAAATGTAGCATAGAAATACAATTTGTGATATTAAAATACATTAGTTCAATAGAAATCCAAACTTTAAACTTTATATTTGTAAGGGTAACCACAAGTGTAACAAGCAAACATGTAAATAAAAAGAAGAGAATAAACTACAGTGGTACCTCAGGATACGAACGCCCCAGCATACAAAATTTTCAGGATATGACATGAAATTTGAACATATTTTTGCTTCACGATACAAACAAAAACTCACCATACAACGTTGCATTAGTTCACAGTGTCATTTTTTATTCACTTCTGTTCATTAGTCTCAGTTCGTGTGTTTGCTTCATTGTAAAAGGATCTCGCTCGATAAAGGAAATCTTGAGGTATTATCAGAAAGCGACTGATTTTATTGAAAAGAAACATTCCTAAAAGGTTCACACTGGCCGTATTGCTGCTTGGAGTAATTACATTTGCCTAAGTCATTTTAGAAACATTTTAAAAAGTAGGCAAAGCCAAATCTCTTTGGATAGATTTTACCAAGCGAACTCTATCCAGTGAAAGTGCTGGTGGAAGTGAAGGAAAGAAAGCAAAAAGCAGTGAATAAAAATTTAAAAATATATATATATATAAGACAACACTAATTTTTTTATCTTTTCTAAGTTATTTTTTTAGTTATTGTTACATTATGTTATGCAAGTTAAGTTTTAGTATCATTTCCCTTCTCCCTCTCTTCCACCACCAGTTTACACCTCCACCGTCATCTATCCTTGAAGGTAAAGTGCAAATAAAACTAGATTTTTTGTATCAATTATTATTCTATTATGGTTATACATTTACAACTAAGAA